TACCTTGTTCTGTGTGTATATATTGTTAGTTGAGACTGTGTTTGATGGGTAACAATGTACATATTAAACGAGAGGAAGAAACATCACCTTGTTTGTATTCCTCTAGGTGGGTAGTGAAGGCTTGGGACAGATCTTTGACCATCTTGTTACTTTCTGTAAGTAAATGGTTAACTTGTAATATACTAAAGCTATTAGCAAGGTTGACACAAAACTATATACAACAATTATATCAGGGATAAGTAAAACACAAGGAACAAACCGACTAGTAGTGACTTAACAGTCAGAAAACTTACTACAAGACGTTAAGCTGACCAATGGCACTCTTGTGTGGGAAAGTGACCAAGTATTATGACGTGACTCTAGTGATAACATTAATAACCTACAGTATACTAAACCACAGCTCTAACATGTTACACATACAACAGTATTCCTTATGGGTCTTACATAACTTGGGGAACATTACCTTGTGTTGCTGCTGTCAGCCTTTTCAAGGTCTGCGACACATCTGCCAACAAATAGAACAAATAAAACAATATAATACTTTTTGAAGAATATATTAGTGTTTATTATGAGCCAGATAGTTGACCATTGAGGAGGAACAAATTAAACACGTGTTCATTGTGATGTTGTATTGTACAGTCTTGGGAGAACCTTTAATTAATAATCATCTTGCTTTATAAAAACATTAACTATTATTATCTTATGAGAGGCACAAGAGCAAATAAACATTTGTACATAGGTTCATTTTGACCGAATCTTTTTAAAAGTTTAATATAAACATTACCTTGTGCTGTATCCAGTTGGGTAAAGAAGGCCTGGCGCATCTCAGTGATAATCTCTGCAAGTAGATGGATAACAATGTTATGCTCTCGAGTACTGCTTTAATTTATTAACGCTATTAGCAAGAAGTTCACTATCAGCACGTTTCAAGATCTTAGAACAAGTTATATTCCAACACATCCATCCCCTAAGCCCGTTCCTGCCACCACCAGTCATAAAACAACAGTTTCAACAAAAACAAACTCCCTCTTCCTACAGCACCAATAAACATTAGTCAACACAACAATAAATATAATAACAAATTTTATTTATTTTTCTCTGAAGTCACCAAGCTCAAGGGACAATAATGAATTATCTCTCTCGCGCCCAAATCCTTCCAAACAGAGTCCCACCAGGGATCTGTACTCTTACCCACCCAGTTCAACATACTGATATAATTACTTTCCTCACTACCTAACTCAGATTACTCTCCTTCAACAACAACAACAATGACTCACTACATGCCCAACATACACTTAACTCATGTACTCACTACATGCCCAACATACACTTAACTAATGTACTCACTACATGCACAACATACACTTAACTAATGTACTCACTACATGCCCAACATACACTTAACTCATGTACTCACTACATGCACAACATACACTTAACTAATGTACTCACTACATGCCCAACATGAACTTAACTCATGTACTCACTACATGCCCAACATGAACTTAACTCATGTACTCACTACACGCCCAACATACACTTAACTAATGTACTCACTACATGCACAACATACACTTAACTAATGTACTCACTACATGCCCAACATACACTTAACTCATGTACTCACTACATGCACAACATACACTTAACTAATGTACTCACTACATGCCCAACATGAACTTAACTCATGTACTCACTACATGCCCAACATGAACTTAACTCATGTACTCACTACACGCCCAACATACACTTAACTAATGTACTCACTACATGCACAACATACACTTAACTAATGTACTCACTACATGCCCAACATACACTTAACTCATGTACTCACTACATGCACAACATACACTTAACTAATGTACTCACTACATGCCCAACATGAACTTAACTCATGTACTCACTACATGCCCAACATGAACTTAACTCATGTACTCATCATATTCAACATAATTCTATAAGTAACTCATGTACTACCATGCCCACAAATATACACTTAACTAATGTACCACTACATGCCCAACATTAACCAACTCAATGTACTCACTACAGTTCCAACATACACTTAACTAATGACTACCACACCAACATATACACACTTAACTCATGTGACTACCACATGCCCAACATACACTTAATCAATGTACTACCACATGCCCAACATACAACACTTAACTCATGTACTACCACATGCCCAACACATGAACTTAACTAATGTAACGCACACACTCAACTGTAATGAGACAGAATAAACAGAGAAGAGGAAGATATATATATATAGGAGAGAGTATAGAGTATAGGAATGTAAAGATAGGAAACTTGGTAGCGTGGCCTGGATGTTATTTGCACAGCGTCACTACGCTTATCTTATCTCGTATGTCAATACACATATATTACTTCTTAAAGGGACAACTTGTTAAACACCTCTTGATACAACTATTTATTACTTCACTCAATGACATGGACACATTAATATCACTATTATATCGGGGTCGGGGAGTGACACATTATGCTTTACGTTACTTGACACTGACTCTCGGACGCACCTGAATGAATACACTTCCCACAGTAGGTAACTCACCCTAGGACGTTCTGACAAGACTCACGTGTACCCTGACGTAGGCCCAGTGGGTGCTGGCTGGGCTGCCTTCATCACAGGGAGAGTCTGCTTAGCTGGCGATGCCGTCTGGTCGGGAGGTCTCCCTCCCGACCTGGGGAGGGGACGTGCGTGACTCTCCTTAGTGAACCGAGTGACGACCCGAACGGGAGAGAGATGACAGCAACCAGAATGAGAATCGTAATGGAATCGAATAGGAATCTCGAATGCCGAATATGGAATGCCGAATCTGGAATGCCCGTGGACGGGACTGTAGGGCCTTTATATGGGGTCGGCCCAGCCGGCTTCTGACCTCTAACAATTAACACTAAACTGGTTTGATCTGGATAATTGTGTGCAGGTGTGGTCCTGGCCAGGTGTCTTGGCTAGGTGCGGTTGTAGGTCACCGGCTCACGTCATTAGCGGGCAAGGTCAAGTCCCTAGGGTCGACCTGAGGTGTGTCAACCTGGAATGCGGTGGTACCACGAGGTCTGTGGTGTACTTGCTGTTATATGTGACATAATTCTGGGCTGTAAGGTTTGGTCTGACAATCACTCATTACATATATATATATATATACATATATATATATATATATATATATATATATATATATATATATATATATATATATATATATATATATATATATATATATATATATATATATATATATATATATATACATACTACCAGAATCGGCCCTCTCCGGGGGGCTCATCTGCTAGGCAACGGTACCATGCCACCCTCCGGAGTCTCACTGTTCAGTCCCCAAAACTTCTTCTTCCATCAATAGTTCATTAACGGTGTATGTAAGTTCCACCATGTTTTTCACTACAACGGTACAGCAAAGCATATGTTTTTAGCATTAAACTGTTATTATTTTATTGCCTAATCATTACTACATATAAAACCACCCATCAACACTACATATAACATCATCCATCATCACTACATCATCCATCATCACCTCACTAGAGGAAAGGTCACGGCAGGGTTAGCTCCTGAGGGATAATTATCAGATATGGCCAGTGATATGTGCGGTCTTGGGTATGAGAGTTTGTTGACCAAACTGGAGTGGTCCACTGAAGAATTGGCGAGGGCCAAGTTAGAAATTGAGAGGGCCACGTTGGAGAACCTGAAATTAAGGAAAGAACTGGCGAAGTTAAAAGGAGAGGCTGGACGAGTAAAGCCAGTGTCTGACGAAAAATCAAACGAGTGGAAAGTCGTGAGTAGTGGGAGGACCAAGCTGGTGGTCAAGAAGCACTCGAAGAATACGACAACAACGACAACAACAGCTAAGTGTACCAACCCGTTCAGTCCCTTGATAGACGAATTGGACGTTAGTACAGTCAGGGGCAGGGATGACAAGGAAGGTATAAAAACTTTAATTGTTGGTGACTCACAGGTAAGGTACATGGACAGGGCCTTTTGTGGTAAAAAAAAAAATAGGATGAGGGTGTGTTTGCCAGGAGCTGGGGTGGGGGATATAGTTGACAGGATGGACAATATCTTGTCTGGTAATGGGAACAAACCCATTATCTGCCTCAGTGCAGGAGGCAATGATATTGGCGGGTGTAGGAGCGAGGAACTTCTTGATAAGTTCAAGGCAGCCATAGATCGTATTAGGACTAAGGGAGGGATCCCTATCATATGCGGTGTCCTGCCTAGAAGGAGAGTTGGCAGCGAATGGTTGTCAAGGGCAGTTGGTGTTAACGACCGTCTTGACAGATATTGCAAGTCAATATCAGTCCCATTCATTGACAACTGGGACAACTTCTATGGCAGAAGGGACCTTTATGCTAGGGATGGGGTGCACCTGTCTAGGGATGGAGTAGCAACCCTGGCTGGGGCTCTAGAGGGGGCAGTTCAAAATATATCGAAGTCTTTAAACTGCTAAGAGAACATAGGAGCACGGGGGTGGAGGAGACTGCAGTGGGAGCGGGTAAACAAGGTGAAAGATTACAGGGAAATAGTGTTAGGAATGATGACAAAACTAAATTAGACAGGGAGTTTAAAACTAAACGCGGTAAGGGAAGGACTCAGAACACGACTAACTTAAATGTATACTACGCGAACAGTAGAAGTATGAGAAACAAAATGGATGATATTAAGGCCTTGGTATGTACCGAAGAAATCGATATAATTGCATTCACTGAAACATGGATCAACCTACTGTAGACACACGTGAATTACCAGTCGAATACCAAATTGCGGGTTACAAACTGTTCCATACCGATAGGCAGACCAGGAAAGGAGGCGGAGTAGCAATCTATGTTAGGGATAATCTGAAGTGTGAAATAAATAAGGAAATAAAAACTGAGAGGAATACAGAAACAATTTGAATAGAATTAAGCAACGGTCGGGAAAAATTAATCACAGGGGTAATATATAGACCCCCCAATCTTGATAGCGTCAATGAGCGACTTATCTGGGATGAAATGCGCAGGGCTTCCATACACAACAAAGTCTGTATAGTAGGCGACTTTAACCTTGGCCAAATAGATTGGACTGTCCTTACGGGTAACTCAGAATCAGAGGATTTTCTCGAGACGATCCAGGACTGCTTCCTAAGTCAACATATAACCGAACCCACCCGGGGTAATAATATACTGGATTTAGTTCTGACGAACAGAGAAAACCTCATTAGCAATGTCGAGGTAGGGAACGAACTTGCAAACAGCGATCACAAAGAAATTCGATTCCAGTTAGATTTTCAGGGCAGACGTAAGGAAAATTCCACTAAAGTACCAGATTTCAGAAGGGCAAACTTTGACAGTTTAAAGAGGCAGTTGAGAGAGGGGGTGTCGTGCTTGGCCGTGAACCTGACAGATGACACCGACCTGATAACGAGATCTGAGATTGCCGAGTTCCACGATAATTTAAATAGTGAGTTACTTAATGCACAAAGGCAGAACATACCATACAAAAAACTCAGATCAGACAACAATGACCCTAAATGGATAAATAATTATTTAAAGAACATCATTGGCCAAAGGAAGGCTATAGGTAGAAGGATAAATCGTGGCGAAATTCACCTCCGGGACTATTATAGGGTATTGGCGAGTAGAGTTAAAACCGAGATAAGGGAAGCAAAGAGGAATAATGAGGTAAGGATAGCAAGGGAGGCGAAGACAAAACCCCAAAGGATTCTACCAAACAATAAACTAAAGACGAAAAGATTGGACCACGTCAGATCAAGTGAGCTCTAATGATAACGACGGAGAAATGAGCAATAATGAATAAATATTTTTCAACAGTTTTCACCACTGAAAATTTAAACATGATACCCGAGGCACTGACTATATACAGAGATAGTGAAGAAAACAAATTAAGCGAGAGAGTAGTGACGAGTAACGATGTTA